ACGAATATCTACACTAGATACTCTCCCAGTGTCTATTCTACAAGACTTCTATACAACTCAACTCAAGAACACGTGATTAGCATGACTAGGACGTGAATGTATTTCCACCCCGAAAGCGGACAACAAGCAGACACAATCCAACGGCAACCAACAATCAGTGATGACAATAAAGATGCGACTCGTCAAACGCCCGTCAGACTATCTACAAGCGTGACTAAGTAGACAATCAATCACTATCATTCTCACACACACATCAGAAAAATTAAGCGAAATGGTAGCTATGATATTACGTCAGATAAAGGCTCAGGTAATGTTCTTGAAGAACACAACAGATTATGTTTCTAAGATACAGTTCATTTAAAGTGGCCACATGAGATTAAAGTTAGATAAAAGTAACAAGGACTTTACTGATTCAACTGGGCAAAGAATCGCGAAAGTATTCAGCGATCTCCTGAAGACTAAGATGATCGATAATTTCACTTGCAATAACCTACGACCTCGTGGGTCTTGTTTGTCCTACATGTATGGTTAACGAAAAATACATAAACAAGATATTCCTTTTAGACCTATTCTGTTAATGGTCAATTGATCATACCATAAAGTTGCACGATGGTTAACAGATAAGTGAGAACCAGTTCGTCAACGATTACTCATGCCTCCACAATCTTGGTAGTTGGTAACCATTCTTTTATATAACCAACTTCTGAAAGTGAATGATTATTTTGTATATGATGTGGAACACGATTGAAGGATGTATGACTATTCTGAACACCAGTTCTTAGAAATTTATTTTCATGCATTACATATTATTGTATAAGAATAGTAACAAGGGTAATCACAATTTCGGTGAATTTCGTGTAATCCAATTTGCTGACTTTCTGGGCAGCGGTGAATTTACTGAATTCCACCGTTCAATTGAACATATGAAGTTTCGAGTGAAATGGTAGCCTCCGATCAGGAACACTATCAAAATCAAAGCTCAACTGCCAGATTTGAAAGACATGAGACCTTAAACTAAAGCAACTTCCTAAAAGAAGATTGGATGCCGAAAACCAGTAAACGCTTTTGAATAATTCCGAAGATTTTATATTAAAACTACCAATGAATTTTCATGAAGTCACTTCTAATGTTTACTATAGTCAATGTGTGATCCGATTGCGTTATTCCTGAGATTCTTAGTTCGTGATATAATTCAATAACTTCTAATCATCACAGTATTACCTGAGAATATCCGTTGAACCCTGAAAATCTTTCATAATGCAAATTTATTTCATACTTCTTTTCAAGCAGCTGTTATTATTTATTTGATAAAACTACGATGTAACTGATTTGATGAGATAAGATGACATTATTTAAAGCAATTTACTACGAATTTCGGCCAGAGTGACAGGTTCGACTTCGTTCATTGTGAGTACTTCTTTTGTATCAATTCCTAATGAATTTTGTTCTATATGACAAATGTGAAGTCATGTTCAGTGAGACAGACTTATTCCCTTTAATAATTTATATGAGCTATATGAAATGTATGATAATACAGTAACTGCACGTATTCCGACCCATGTGATGCTATAAAGTGTTTGTGGAATTTCGTTACATAAATGGTTGTGTTGTGGTCTATGGATAATGTGACATAGAACTTATTCAGAGACATGTTTTGGGGCAGTTAGTCAATCTTCATTACAACAGTCCTTCCTATTCTCACTTAGCATTGTGGGAATTGTAATTGTTCCTGATGGTCTAGTAAAACCAGTAAGACTGAAAATTTAGCGGAGCCGTTACATACATAACAGCGACAATTCCCACTTGATTACAACAGTGCTAATTGACCCGAGCTTTCAGTTATAATGGTGAGGATTCCGGGATAGAACAATAACATTCGGTACACTGCATCATGTCATCTAAAAAATTCTAAATAACTTATCTTCTTTATGCAGAAACATATTCACTAATGTCATAACGGCTATTGGTAAATGAATTCAACCTGATCACTCGAAGGTCATGATCATATTTTATTAACTTATCTTTGACATAATGATTCTTATCAATGAAAATACGACAGAGTAATTAAATTAGTTTTATGTGAGTATTATGGGAAAATACATTTGAAAGTTATTTACTTAAATTAGGTTATGTTAATCAAGAATACATTAAATTTTTAGTTAAAATGAACGAGACATTATTAAAGTTTTTATCCCTTTGAATGTAGATTAAAATAATATCCTTCAAGTTGTTGTTTTCAGTTATATCTTTACCTGTAAATAAAAGTAAGTGAATCATCTTATAATCAGATCATACATGAGTAACGTATAACATTGTACTCACTTACTTACTTTCGACTGTTACCTACAAGTGAGCATAGGCCGCCGACCAGCATTCTTCAACATACTCTGTCCTGATACTTCCTTTCTAGTTCTATCCAATTCTTGTTCATTCTTCTCATGTCTATCTCCATTTCTCAGCGCAATGTGTTCTTTGCTCTTGTCCTGTGACGCAGTCGAGTACTTTCCTAAACGTGTGTCCAATCCACTTCCAGCGCTTCTTCCTAATTTCTTTCTCCGCTGGTTTTTTCTCTCCCACAATAGGTTGTTGCTGATAGTGTCTGGCTAACGGATCCTAAGTATTTTGCGTAGACAGCTGTTAATAAACACTTGTAACTTCTAGATGATGGCTTATGTAGTGCTTCCAGTTTCCGCTCCACACAGTGGAACTGTCTTGACATTTGTATTGAAAATTCTGACTTTGGTGTTAGTTGATGGCCGTTTTGAGTTTAAGATGGTCTTCAGTTGTAAATATGCTGGTCTTGTTTTTCTGATCCGCCTCCATATCTGCATCAGATCCGTCGTACTGTCCTCCGTGCACGATTTCGCAGTTTAATCCATCATAAGAATTCCGTAAAATATTGGATATCTTCACAGGCATACCTTAGTGCCGAAGAGAACTCCAAATTCTTTTCCTGTCCACGCTATCAAATGCTTACTCATAGTCAATGAAGTTGATGAAGGGTGGTGAATTCCATTCAATTGATTGTTCCACAATGATCTGTAGTGTTGTGAGTTGATTGTTTGAGCGTCTACGGAATCCCAAATTCTGTTTAACAATACCCTTTTGAAGACTTTTCCTGGTAGTTCATACACTTGTTGAGATCCCCTTTCTTTGGTATCTTGAGCAGATGTCCTTTTTTCCAGTCTGTTGGTACTCGTTCCTCCTTCCAAATCTTGCTGAAGAGAATATGGAGGATGTTTACATTTGCCGCAACGTCAGCTCTCAGTGCTCTTGCTGGAATATTGCGCGATCCCGGTGATTTGCTGCTCTTGATGGCCGTGCTGATCTTGTCATTTTCTGGTGGGCCAACATTGATTGGGAAGTCCGTGGTTATAACATAGTACCAGACAAATAATACAATAATTTTTATTTTGTTTAAAATGCTTGAGTTTTTTAAATTAGTTGTGATATTCATTATTATTTATTATTAATCAAGAACAATCACTGGCAATAAGTGATGAACAAACTTTCATAAATGCTCTGCGACAAAACAAAAATTGAAGTGTATTGTTCCGGCTCGAGTTGGGGCAATAGCTCTAAACATGTGTAATTTTATGGCAGTAGATTATAATTTTACACCAAAACAATACATACTTAAAACTTAAATAAAACGGATGATTATATAAACACTGCGACGTGAACCAGCCATTTTTTCTCTCAAAGATCCTTTGTAGGACAGTGAACAAAACAAAGTCACGTTCACACTTAATCGTGCTACATTGATACTGAGAGAGTAATGATGAAAACTAAAATCTTCATTCTTCATCGCATATAAAAATTTAAAAAATAAGTGAAAACTTTCATTCACGAAATGGTATGTCCGAAATTTGCAGAAAAACGAAAACGATAAAAATCAGCATTATTCAAATTAAATGCGACATGACTGATGAAAATGTGAAATAAATGAACTCAGTGCAAAATTTACCGTTGTTTATTTAATTTTCGGTCAGTCTACAGCCATTTCTAAAAGATAAAGTTGAGAAATGAATCAAACAGCAAAGACTAGACGAAAGTAGAATCCATTAAACACATCTACAGAAGTCAGGGAAATGTAGAAAACAATTCATTTCAAGTAACATTTCAAAGAAACTTACCGAAAGCTCTGGAAAAACAACAGATAAGTTGTCATATAGGTTAGATGAATAACGCAAAATGATTTAAAATAGGTTTGCTTCCAAAAGACAACACATAGATAATAGATATTATAGCACATAAAATAAAATTACACAATGTGTAAAAAAACATTCGATTAGGGTGCACGAAGCAATTCGCAAAATCAGCAAGAGAGTAAACAGAAGAAGCGAAAAAAATTGAAGCAAATTCTCAGCATAAACAAAGGAAAAATCGAGAATAAATAAACAAATATAAAAAAATTTGATAGAGAGATATCGGAAGGAAAACGAAAAGTGTGCAGTTTGAGAGAATGAGAGTGTGGTGTATAATTGGCATTGTTATGCTGAGCTATCGGAATGGTGAATGTGTCGCATTGACGTGTGAGAACATGAATGAAATGAGAGAACTGTTGAATGGAATGTGTGTTGATTGTTTTCACGTTGGAGTTAATGAAGCGAGAATGGATGAGATGTATGCATGTGTTTAATGGAGGAGTTGATGAAAGTAGATGATGCATTGCAGGATGTTAGCAATGGATTGTGTGAAGTATTAGTGTGAACTGATTGTGAGTAGAAAGTGAATGTATGATGATAGATTTCGCAATTGACGTATTTGCTCTTACCACTTGGTTGAGTGTCGTGTTCACTGGTCACTTCTATTAAAATGAGTGTAATTATCGAGAATGTTGATTGAGTGTGAATGCACTAATTTCATATATATTCTTATGTATGTATATATGTCTATATAAATATACAAATATAAACTGACAACGTGAAATGTGAGAATACGTGAGATTAGAGAAATGTGCCTGAATGCATATGCACATTTGCATGGAGATATTCAGCATAGTGGAGATTGAGTTTTGTTGAGTATTCCGAATGAATATCTACTGTGTGGAGTTGGAGTGTATGAGAGTGTGGTGTAGAATTGGCATTGTTATGCTGAGCTATTGGAATGGTGAATGTGTCGCATTGACGTGTGAGAACATGAATGAAATGAGAGAACTGTTGAACGGAATGTGTGTTGATTGTTTTCACGTTGGAGTTAATGAAGCGAGAATGGATGAGATGTATGCATGTGTTTAATGGAGGAGTTGATGAAAGTAGATGATGCATTGCAGGATGTTAGCAATGGATTGTGTGAAGTATTAGTGTGAACTGATTGTGAGTAGAAAGTGAATGTATGATGATAGATTTCGCAATTGACGTATTTGCACTTACCATTTGTTTGAGTGGTGTGGTCGCTGGTCACTTCTATTAAAATGAGTGTAATTATCGAGAATGTTGATTGAGTGTGAATGCACAAATTTGATATAAATCTTTTCACGTAAATATATACAGATATATTGATAAATGTGAAATGTGAGAATACGTGAGATTAGAGAAATGTGCCTCAATGCATGTGCACATTTGCATGGAGATATTTAGCATAGTGGAGATTGAGTTTTGTTGAGTATTCCGAATGAATATCTACTGTGTGGAGTTGGAGTGTATGAGAGTGTGGTGTAGAATTGGCATTGTTATGCTGAGCTATTGGAATGGTGAATGTGTCGCATTGACGTGTGAGAACATGAATGAAATGAGAGAACTGTTGAACGGAATGTGTGTTGATTGTTTTCACGTTGGAGTTAATGAAGCGAGAATGGATGAGATGTATGCATGTGTTTAATGGAGGAGTTGATGAAAGTAGATGATGCATTGCAGGATGTTAGCAATGGATTGTGTGAAGTATTAGTGTGAACTGATTGTGAGTAGAAAGTGAATGTATGATGATAGATTTCGCAATTGACGTATTTGCACTTACCACTGGGTTGAGTGTCGTGTTCACTGGTCACTTCTATTAAAATGAGTGTAATTAACGAGAATGTTGATTGAGTGTGAATGCACTAATTTCATATATATTTTTATGTATGTATATATGTTTATATAAATACACAAAGTAAAACTGATCAATGTGAAATGTGAGAATACGTGAGATTAGAGAAATGTGCCTCAATGCATGTGCACATTTGCATGGAGATATTCAGCATAGTGGAGATTGAGTTTTGTTGAGTATTCCGAATGAATATCTACTGTGTGGAGTTGGAGTGTATGAGAGTGTGGTGTAGAATTGGCATTGTTATGCTGAGCTATTGGAATGGTGAATGTGTCGCATTGACGTGTGAGAACATGAATGAAATGAGAGATCTGTTGAACGGAATGTGTGTTGATTGTTTTCACGTTGGAGTTAATGAAGCGAGAATGGATGAGATGTATGCATGTGTTTAATGGAGGAGTTGATGAAAGTAGATGATGCATTGCAGGATGTTAGCAATGGATTGTGTGAAGTATTAGTGTGAACTGATTGTGAGTAGAAAGTGAATGTATGATGATAGATTTCGCAATTGACGTATTTGCACTTACCATTTGTTTGAGTGGTGTGGTCGCTGGTCACTTCTATTAAAATGAGTGTAATTATCGAGAATGTTGATTGAGTGTGAATGCACAAATTTGATAAATATATTTATATAAATATATAAATATATATTGATCAGTATGAAATATGAGAATACGTGAGATTAGAGAAATGTGACTCAATGCATGTGCACATTTGCATGGAGATATTCAGCATAGTGGAGATTGAGTTTTGTTGAGTATTCCGAATGAATATCTACTGTGTGGAGTTGGAGTGTATGAGAGTGTGGTGTAGAATTGGCATTGTTATGCTGAGCTATTGGAATGGTGAATGTGTCGCATTGACGTGTGAGAACATGAATGAAATGAGAGAACTGTTGAACGGAATGTGTGTTGATTGTTTTCACGTTGGAGTTAATGAAGCGAGAATGGATGAGATGTATGCATGTGTTTAATGGAGGAGTTGATGAAAGTAGATGATGCATTGCAGGATGTTAGCAATGGATTGTGTGAAGTATTAGTGTGAACTGATTGTGAGTAGAAAGTGAATGTATGATGATAGATTTCGCAATTGACGTATTTGCACTTACCACTGGGTTGAGTGTCGTGTTCACTGGTCACTTCTATTAAAATGAGTGTAATTAACGAGAATGTTGATTGAGTGTGAATGCACTAATTTCATATATATTCTTATGTATGTATATATGTTTATATAAATACACAAAGATAAACTGATCAATGTGAAATGTGAGAATACGTGAGATTAGAGAAATGTGCCTCAATGCATGTGCACATTTGCATGGAGATATTCAGCATAGTGGAGATTGAGTTTTGTTGAGTATTCCGAATGAATATCTACTGTGTGGAGTTGGAGTGTATGAGAGTGTGGTGTAGAATTGGCATTGTTATGCTGAGCTATTGGAATGGTGAATGTGTCGCATTGACGTGTGAGAACATGAATGAAATGAGAGATCTGTTGAACGGAATGTGTGTTGATTGTTTTCACGTTGGAGTTAATGAAGCGAGAATGGATGAGATGTATGCATGTGTTTAATGGAGGAGTTGATGAAAGTAGATGATGCATTGCAGGATGTTAGCAATGGATTGTGTGAAGTATTAGTGTGAACTGATTGTGAGTAGAAAGTGAATGTATGATGATAGATTTCGCAATTGACGTATTTGCTCTTACCACTGGGTTGAGTGTCGTGTTCACTGGTCACTTCTATTAAAATGAGTGTAATTATCGAGAATGTTGATTGAGTGTGAATGCACAAATTTGATAAATATATTTATATAAATATATAAATATATATTGATCAATATGAAATGTGAGAATACGTGAGATTAGAGAAATGTGCCTCAATGCATGTGCACATTTGCATGGAGATATTTAGCATAGTGGAGATTGAGTTTTGTTGAGTATTCCGAATGAATATCTACTGTGTGGAGTTGGAGTGTATGAGAGTGTGGTGTAGAATTGGCATTGTTATGCTGAGCTATTGGAATGGTGAATGTGTCGCATTGACGTGTGAGAACATGAATGAAATGAGAGAACTGTTGAACGGAATGTGTGTTGATTGTTTTCACGTTGGAGTTAATGAAGCGAGAATGGATGAGATGTATGCATGTGTTTAATGGAGGAGTTGATGAAAGTAGATGATGCATTGCAGGATGTTAGCAATGGATTGTGTGAAGTATTAGTGTGAACTGATTGTGAGTAGAAAGTGAATGTATGATGATAGATTTCGCAATTGACGTATTTGCACTTACCATTTGTTTGAGTGGTGTGGTCGCTGGTCACTTCTATTAAAATGAGTGTAATTATCGAGAATGTTGATTGAGTGTGAATGCACAAATTTGATAAATATATTTATATAAACATATAAATATATATTGATCAATATGAAATGTGAGAATACGTGAGATTAGAGAAATGTGCCTCAATGCATGTGCACATTTGCATGGAGATATTCAGCATAGTGGAGATTGAGTTTTGTTGAGTATTCCGAATGAATATCTACTGTGTGGAGTTGGAGTGTATGAGAGTGTGGTGTAGAATTGGCATTGTTATGCTGAGCTATTGGAATGGTGAATGTGTCGCATTGACGTGTGAGAACATGAATGAAATGAGAGAACTGTTGAACGGAATGTGTGTTGATTGTTTTCACGTTGGAGTTAATGAAGCGAGAATGGATGAGATGTATGCATGTGTTTAATGGAGGAGTTGATGAAAGTAGATGATGCATTGCAGGATGTTAGCAATGGATTGTGTGAAGTATTAGTGTGAACTGATTGTGAGTAGAAAGTGAATGTATGATGATAGATTTCGCAATTGACGTATTTGCACTTACCATTTGTTTGAGTGGTGTGGTCGCTGGTCACTTCTATTAAAATGAGTGTAATTATCGAGAATATTGATTGAGTGTGAATGCACAAATTTGATAAATATATTTATATAAACATATAAATATATATTGATCAATATGAAATGTGAGAATACGTGAGATTAGAGAAATGTGCCTCAATGCATGTGCACATTTGCATGGAGATATTCAGCATAGTGGAGATTGAGTTTTGTTGAGTATTCCGAATGAATATCTACTGTGTGGAGTTGGAGTGTATGAGAGTGTGGTGTAGAATTGGCATTGTTATGCTGAGCTATTGGAATGGTGAATGTGTCGCATTGACGTGTGAGAACATGAATGAAATGAGAGAACTGTTGAACGGAATGTGTGTTGATTGTTTTCACGTTGGAGTTAATGAAGCGAGAATGGATGAGATGTATGCATGTGTTTAATGGAGGAGTTGATGAAAGTAGATGATGCATTGCAGGATGTTAGCAATGGATTGTGTGAAGTATTAGTGTGAACTGATTGTGAGTAGAAAGTGAATGTATGATGATAGATTTCGCAATTGACGTATTTGCACTTACCATTTGTTTGAGTGGTGTGGTCGCTGGTCACTTCTATTAAAATGAGTGTAATTATCGAGAATGTTGATTGAGTGTGAATGCACAAATTTGATAAATATATTTATATAAATATATAAATATATATTGATCAATATGAAATGTGAGAATACGTGAGATTAGAGAAATGTGCCTCAATGCATGTGCACATTTGCATGGAGATATTTAGCATAGTGGAGATTGAGTTTTGTTGAGTATTCCGAATGAATATCTACTGTGTGGAGTTGGAGTGTATGAGAGTGTGGTGTAGAATTGGCATTGTTATGCTGAGCTATTGGAATGGTGAATGTGTCGCATTGACGTGTGTGAACATGAATGAAATGAGAGAACTGTTGAACGGAATGTGTGTTGATTGTTTTCACGTTGGAGTTAATGAAGCGAGAATGGATGAGATGTATGCATGTGTTTAATGGAGGAGTTGATGAAAGTAGATGATGCATTGCAGGATGTTAGCAATGGATTGTGTGAAGTATTAGTGTGAACTGATTGTGAGTAGAAAGTGAATGTATGATGATAGATTTCGCAATTGACGTATTTGCACTTACCATTTGTTTGAGTGGTGTGGTCGCTGGTCACTTCTATTAAAATGAGTGTAATTATCGAGAATGTTGATTGAGTGTGAATGCACAAATTTGATAAATATATTTATATAAATATATAAATATATATTGATCAATATGAAATGTGAGAATACGTGAGATTAGAGAAATGTGCCTCAATGCATGTGCACATTTGCATGGAGATATTCAGCATAGTGGAGATTGAGTTTTGTTGAGTATTCCGAATGAATATCTACTGTGTGGAGTTGGAGTGTATGAGAGTGTGGTGTAGAATTGGCATTGTTATGCTGAGCTATTGGAATGGTGAATGTGTCGCATTGACGTGTGAGAACATGAATGAAATGAGAGAACTGTTGAACGGAATGTGTGTTGATTGTTTTCACGTTGGAGTTAATGAAGCGAGAATGGATGAGATGTATGCATGTGTTTAATGGAGGAGTTGATGAAAGTAGATGATGCATTGCAGGATGTTAGCAATGGATTGTGTGAAGTATTAGTGTGAACTGATTGTGAGTAGAAAGTGAATGTATGATGATAGATTTCGCAATTGACGTATTTGCACTTACCACTGGGTTGAGTGTCGTGTTCACTGGTCACTTCTATTAAAATGAGTGTAATTATCGAGAATGTTGATTGAGTGTGAATGCACTAATTTCATATATATTCTTATGTATGTATATATTTTTATATAAATATACAAAGATAAACTGATCAATGTGAAATGTGAGAATACGTGAGATTAGAGAAATGTGCCTCAATGCATGTGCACATTTGCATGGAGATATTCAGCATAGTGGAGATTGAGTTTTGTTGAGTATTCCGAATGAATATCTACTGTGTGGAGTTGGAGTGTATGAGAGTGTGGTGTAGAATTGGCATTGTTATGCTGAGCTATTGGAATGGTGAATGTGTCGCATTGACGTGTGAGAACATGAATGAAATGAGAGATCTGTTGAACGGAATGTGTGTTGATTGTTTTCACGTTGGAGTTAATGAAGCGAGAATGGATGAGATGTATGCATGTGTTTAATGGAGGAGTTGATGAAAGTAGATGATGCATTGCAGGATGTTAGCAATGGATTGTGTGAAGTATTAGTGTGAACTGATTGTGAGTAGAAAGTGAATGTATGATGATAGATTTCGCAATTGACGTATTTGCACTTACCATTTGTTTGAGTGGTGTGGTCGCTGGTCACTTCTATTAAAATGAGTGTAATTATCGAGAATGTTGATTGAGTGTGAATGCACAAATTTGATAAATATATTTATATAAATATATAAATATATATTGATCAATATGAAATGTGAGAATACGTGAGATTAGAGAAATGTGCCTCAATGCATGTGCACATTTGCATGGAGATATTCAGCATAGTGGAGATTGAGTTTTGTTGAGTATTCCGAATGAATATCTACTGTGTGGAGTTGGAGTGTATGAGAGTGTGGTGTAGAATTGGCATTGTTATGCTGAGCTATTGGAATGGTGAATGTGTCGCATTGACGTGTGTGATCATGAATGAAATGAGAGAACTTTTGAACGGAATGTGTGTTGATTGTTTTCACGTTGGAGTTAATGAAGCGAGAATGGATGAGATGTATGCATGTGTTTAATGGAGGAGTTGATGAAAGTAGATGATGCATTGCAGGATGTTAGCAATGGATTGTGTGAAGTATTAGTGTGAACTGATTGTGAGTAGAAAGTGAATGTATGATGATAGATTTCGCAATTGACGTATTTGCACTTACCACTGGGTTGAGTGTCGTGTTCACTGGTCACTTCTATTAAAATGAGTGTAATTATCGAGAATGTTGATTGAGTGTGAATGCACTAATTTCATATATATTCTTATGTATGTATATATTTTTATATAAATATACAAAGATAAACTGATCAATGTGAAATGTGAGAATACGTGAGATTAGAGAAATGTGCCTCAATGCATGTGCACATTTGCATGGAGATATTCAGCATAGTGGAGATTGAGTTTTGTTGAGTATTCCGAATGAATATCTACTGTGTGGAGTTGGAGTGTATGAGAGTGTGGTGTAGAATTGGCATTGTTATGCTGAGCTATTGGAATGGTGAATGTGTCGCATTGACGTGTGAGAACATGAATGAAATGAGAGAACTGTTGAACGGAATGTGTGTTGATTGTTTTCACGTTGGAGTTAATGAAGCGAGAATGGATGAGATGTATGCATGTGTTTAATGGAGGAGTTGATGAAAGTAGATGATGCATTGCAGGATGTTAGCAATGGATTGTGTGAAGTATTAGTGTGAACTGATTGTGAGTAGAAAGTGAATGTATGATGATAGATTTCGCAATTGACGTATTTGCACTTACCATTTGTTTGAGTGGTGTGGTCGCTGGTCACTTCTATTAAAATGAGTGTAATTATCGAGAATGTTGATTGAGTGTGAATGCACAAATTTGATAAATATATTTATATAAATATATAAATATATATTGATCAATATGAAATGTGAGAATACGTGAGATTAGAGAAATGTGCCTCAATGCATGTGCACATTTGCATGGAGATATTCAGCATAGTGGAGATTGAGTTTTGTTGAGTATTCCGAATGAATATCTACTGTGTGGAGTTGGAGTGTATGAGAGTGTGGTGTAGAATTGGCATTGTTATGCTGAGCTATTGGAATGGTGAATGTGTCGCATTGACGTGTGTGATCATGAATGAAATGAGAGATCTGTTGAACGGAATGTGTGTTGATTGTTTTCACGTTGGAGTTAATGAAGCGAGAATGGATGAGATGTATGCATGTGTTTAATGGAGGAGTTGATGAAAGTAGATGATGCATTGCAGGATGTTAGCAATGGATTGTGTGAAGTATTAGTGTGAACTGATTGTGAGTAGAAAGTGAATGTATGATGATAGATTTCGCAATTGACGTATTTGCACTTACCACTGGGTTGAGTGGTGTGGTCGCTGGTCACTTCTATTAAAATGAGTGTAATTATCGAGAATGTTGATTGAGTGTGAATGCACTAATTTCATATATATTCTTATGTATGTATATATGTTTATATAAATACACAAAGATAAACTGATCAATGTGAAATGTGAGAATACGTGAGATTAGAGAAATGTGCCTCAATGCATGTGCACATTTGCATGGAGATATTCAGCATAGTGGAGATTGAGTTTTGTTGAGTATTCCGAATGAATATCTACTGTGTGGAGTTGGAGTGTATGAGAGTGTGGTGTAGAATTGACATTGTTATGCTGAGCTATTGGAATGGTGAATGTGTCGCATTGACGTGTGTGATCATGAATGAAATGAGAGAACTTTTGAACGGAATGTGTGTTGATTGTTTTCACGTTGGAGTTAATGAAGCGAGAATGGATGAGATGTATGCATGTGTTTAATGGAGGAGTTGATGAAAGTAGATGATGCATTGCAGGATGTTAGCAATGGATTGTGTGAAGTATTAGTGTGAACTAATTGTGAGTATAAAGTGCGTATTTGATGATTGATTTTGCAATTAACATATCGACACCTACCGCTTGCATTGAACAAGCGATTCCATGGATTTTCTATTAAAACGGCGTAGAAAATCGGTATCAGGTTTTAATTTGAATGCGCAATAATGGTCAATATATTTATATAAATATAATAATGTATATTGATAAATGAGAATTGTGAGAATACTTGAGATTAGAGAAATGTGCCTCAATGCATGTGCACATTTGCATGGAGATATTCAGCATAGTGGAGATTGAGTTTTGTTGAGTATTCCGAATGAATATCTACTGTGTGGAGTTGGAGTGTATGAGAGTGTGGTGTAGAATTGGCATTGTTATGCTGAGCTATTGGAATGGTGAATGTGTCGCATTGACGTGTGAGAACATGAATGAAATGAGAGAACTGTTGAACGGAATGTGTGTTGATTGTTTTCACGTTGGAGTTAATGAAGCGAGAATGGATGAGATGTATGCATGTGTTTAATGGAGGAGTTGATGAAAGTAGATGATGCATTGCAGGATGTTAGCAATGGATTGTGTGAAGTATTAGTGTGAACTGATTGTGAGTAGAAAGTGAATGTATGATGATAGATTTCGCAATTGACGTATTTGCACTTACCATTTGTTTGAGTGGTGTGGTCGCTGGTCACTTCTATTAAAATGAGTGTAATTATCGAGAATGTTGATTGAGTGTGAATGCACAAATTTGATAAATATATTTATATAAATATATAAATATATATTGATCAATATGAAATGTGAGAATACGTGAGATTAGAGAAATGTGCCTCAATGCATGTGCACATTTGCATGGAGATATTCAGCATAGTGGAGATTGAGTTTTGTTGAGTATTCCGAATGAATATCTACTGTGTGGAGTTGGAGTGTATGAGAGTGTGGTGTAGAATTGGCATTGTTATGCTGAGCTATTGGAATGGTGAATGTGTCGCATTGACGTGTGTAAACATGAATGAAATGAGAGAACTGTTGAACGGAATGTGTGTTGATTGTTTTCACGTTGGAGTTAATGAAGCGAGAATGGATGAGATGTATGCATGTGTTTAATGGAGGAGTTAATGAAAGTAGATGATGCATTGCAGGATGTTAGCAATGGATTGTGTGAAGTATTAGTGTGAACTGATTGTGAGTAGAAAGTGAATGTATGATGATAGATTTCGCAATTGACGTATTTGCACTTACCATTTGTTTGAGTGGTGTGGTCGCTGGTCACTTCTATTAAAATGAGTGTAATTATCGAGAATGTTGATTGAGTGTGAATGCACAAATTTGATAAATATATTTATGTAAATATATACAGATATATTGATAAATGTGAAATGTGAGAATACGTGAGATTAGAGAAATGTGCCTGAATGCATGTGCACATTTGCATGGAGATATTCAGCATAGTGGAGATTGAGTTTTGTTGAGTATTCCGAATGAATATCTACTGTGTGGAGTTGGAGTGTATGAGAGTGTGGTGTCGAATTGGCATTGTTATGCTGAGCTATTGGAATGGTGAATGTGTCGCATTGACGTGTGTGAACATGAATGAAATGAGAGAACTGTTGAACGGAATGTGTGTTGATTGTTTTCACGTTGGAGTTAATGAAGCGAGAATGGATGAGATGTATGCATGTGGTTAATGGAGGAGTTGATGAGAGTAGATGATGCATTGCAGGATGTTAGCAATGGATTGTGTGCAGTATTAGTGTGAACTGATTGTGAGTAGAAAGTGAATGTATGATGATAGATTTCGCAATTGACATATTTGCACTTACCAACTGATTGATTGATGTTGTCGCTGGTCACTTCAATTAAAATGAGTGTAATAAACGAGAATGTTGATTGAGTGTGAGTGCACCAATTAAATATATATATTTATGTAAATATATACAGATATATTGATAAATGTGAAATGTGAGAATACGTGAGATTAGAGAAATGTGCCTGAATGCATGTGCACATTTGCATGGAGATATTCAGCATAGTGGAGATTGAGTTTTGTTGAGTATTCCGAATGAAT